TCATCAAATAACATGAATAGATTCTGATTTATCCACTTCTACACACATATCTGTGTGTGTGTGCGTGTGTGTGTGTGTGTGTGTGTGTGTGTGTTTTTAGGGAAAAAATAAAGAAGATATGACTTCACTTGAGAAAATATAAATCTGGTTCTCTGTAAGCGAGGGAGACCCACTGACATACCACCTCTTTCATGCGCTCCAACTCACTGGCAGAACTTTCAGAACTTGCTTCCTTAGGAAGCTCGAAAGTTTGGTTCTCTTCCAAACCTGGAGCCTTACGTCCCTGGAAATATGCAGATCTTAGGTGCCAGTAATAATCTTTGGGGGCCTCGTGCTTCTGGTGCAAGACACTATAAGCACTAAGAAGGGCAGATGCAGGGTCAATGTAGGTGGAGTATTCCTGGCACAAAGCATTGCAGAGCGCAGAGTACTGGTATCTGATCTCAGGCTGAAGGGTAGTCGTGAAGTTATGGAGACTCTTGGAAGTTGTCTTCCAGATCAGCCTGAGTTTTTCTCTTGTGAATGCATCAGGTGCATCACTGAGACACAGGTTAATCGCTCCGAGGTAATCATCGATACAGTGGTCTGAGTTATCTGGATCAAACCGCTGTACATCCTTTGCCATAGATTCAATGAGCCATATGCGCATTCTTTGATCTCTGGGTAAAAGGGAGCCATCCGAGTCATCTGAGGTTTGGATATTCCTCAGCTGTGAATCCTGCGATGGGAACAGGTATCAGGAGGGGTCCTAGTGTTATCTCTGCCTCAGGGGGCTGAGAAGTCACCCCCCTTCCTATGTGGTGATTCAAACCTATGAAGGTGTGAAAGGGTGTCACAGCTGTCTGGGGCGTTTCCACAAGGAACGGGGCTCCACAGTCAAAATCAGGGAAAACTAGACTTATTTCCTCAGTTCTTGGGTTATCCTGGCTGCTCGGTTCTTTACTGAGCTTTTTCAGCAGGGTTGTTTGATCTCTTAAGGGGCTTGGTCCAGGATCAGAGTCATATCCTGATGATATGTCTTGCTCCATGATTACCTGTGCTCCCTGAATTAATTCAAACATGTCCAACACTTTCTGCTTGGCAGTTTGTAAGTGCTGACCAACAGATTTGTTTCCTTTCTGCAAGGATCGGACCTTTGGTGGGAGTGTCCCCATGAAAGCACGGACACTCCTAGCCGTAGTCGTCCAGATCCGTTTCAGTTTTTCATGTGAGGATGTATGAGGCAGGTCAAGGAGACAATGGTCGATTTCTCTCAAGTAGTTGTTAATACTTGAATCTGGGCTATCTGGGTCAAAGCGCTTCAGATCTTTGGCCTGAGGTTCTATCTGCCTGGTTCGCAGACCCTGTACGGTAGTACGGTTGCAACTGTGGCGGGGTTTGTGTTCGGCTCAGACGTGGCCGTCTATCGTGGGACAGGTAATGTTCGGTGCCCGATTGGACCCGTGCCTCCTCCCTGTCTCTAGGGGGCGTAAAGTCCCTCCTCCTGCAAGGTGAGGGTTCTCTTGGTTCAAAGCGTATTGCGGAACGCGGGGGCCTTGGGGTCTTTCCACATGACGGTGCTTCATGGTCTGGGGAGGCGTGGCGAAATTCATCTTTACCCACCCGGCTCTTTACCGGGTCATTAGAGGATGTGTGCGCTTTTGTGCCTGGGTCGACCAGGCGGCGCCTTCCCCCCTCCTCCAGATCCTGCAACATGTCTGTCTCCCTCCTCCAAGGACTTGGTTCAGTCTCTCATCCTTCGTCTGAGGTTTCCTTAGACGACATGCAGTACATACCTGCCCATCCTGAATTCTGGGTGGCACTTTGTTTCTTCTGTTCGACCAATCTGCTGCTTCTATGCAGTGCTTCCTTCTCCTCCTGCAGGGCCTTGCGTTTGTCCTGCAAGGTCTTGAGTTTATCCTGCATTCTTTTGAAGTTGTCCCCGCAGGATCTGTTTTTCTTCTCTTACCTGGGCTAGCTGTGCCCGGTGTTTCTCATTCTGCAAACATGATTTGCGCTGATGAAGGAAGAGAAGTTGGCCTTGAACATCTGAAATTGTGTTCTGTGGTTTCCCAGTTGGATTAGTTATATGCTCAAATAACTCCTTTATTTTTTCTTCGCATGTGCTGAGGGTGTAGGAGTTCAGACTGTTGATCTCTAAAAAGAGGTGGATAAGACCAACAACTTCATCATGAAGGGGTGGATCGTCTGATCCACAACGAGCCTTGGCCCATGGTTGATGTATGTCTTCTGCATACATTCTGTCTTTGTTAGGGGTGGTCCTGGCTCTGTGGTTGACAAGATCAACTAGCTCCTCTAACTTCTTATCACCAATGCTAATTGAATAGCTATATAGGTTGGCACTCTCCTCTGAGGAGAGGTTTTTCAGACCGGCAACAGTTTCTTGCAGTGCTGTGTCGTCTGATCCAAAAGGAGTCTCAGCTCCCGGCTCACCTAGGGTCTTGGTACACATTTTCGTGATAAAATGGAACCACAGTGGATTACTATTAACAAAACCGCTGAGCTAAACAAAGCTAGGTCAACACAAGAGCAAATCTTATCTAGGTTTCCCAACTGATCACTGCAGTCTATCCTGGAAGCTAGGAGAGGGGATTCACACCTCAAGTCCTCGAAGGAAGGGAGGAACTCACACCTCTCAGACAGCTGGCCATGCAACAATTATTTAGATTACCCTCTCATCTGGCCAAATGGCTCTCAAACAACAAGGAGCACCACAATCCTTTAGTAGAATACTTCAGGATCAAAATCTGGATTAATGCAACAAATCACGTTCATTGAGAAAGTCACACTAGCTGCATCATTATGTCCAACTGTTGTATGGACACAAAGGGGACAACAGTTATTGCTTTAACCATTAACTAACAACGTACAACACAACTAAGCCACAGCTGGATGTCTGCTTGGCTTAAACAACAAAAAAAATTTAAAGAAAAGATAATTTTCTTCAGAAGGATCCCTAAAACCACTTTTTTCAACTCTAAACCTCTGTATTTGAGTATTAAGTAGTGTTATGGATCAATCCAAGTCCCAATCTCGACATTTGAGTACAAAGTATTGAAATTTGAAATATTGTGTTAGAAATGTGCATAGTGTCTGCCCTTCCGTTTGAAAAATTCTAATGGCTGTGTGGCATACAGTATGACGTAGGAGTACAGCCCCACGTCACCAAACCTATAAAAGCCTCGTCACCCGACTCGGCGAACTGTGGGGACTCAAGTGTGTGTGTGTGTTTGTGTGTGTGGGGCAAACATTGTATCATGTTGCGGCTGATAACGGCGCGAAAGGAGTGAGTGGGCGAGTATAAACTAATCTAAGCAAACAAACATTATCAAGCAAGGCTTGTGGAAGAGGTGTAAAGGTGTAGTTGGGTGGGTGTGTGTGTGTGTGTGTGAGAGAGAGAGAGAGAGAGAGAGAGAGAGAGAGAGAGAGAGAGAGAGAGAGAGAGAGGAGGGGGGAGATGGCTTTGTACCCACGTGGTCGCTCACGATGGTGGACACCTAACAAAGACCTGGGTGCGTGCATGCGTGTGTCTGTGGATGAAAGAGAGAGAGAAGGGGGAAAAGGGGGAGATTGCTTCTTCTCACGTGGTCGCCCTTCCGATGGCACACACCTAACAAAGACCTAGTGGTCTAAAAGAGGCTGAGTTTGGCCCTGCACGATCTGTGTCTCTGAGGCGTCTGGATTGCCGCGAGTGTACAGATCTCTATGTGTGTGTGGGTGTGTAGCCTATATGCGTAATGGTGCAGTGGTGGAGTTAGTCTCCAGATGTGCGTCTACACGGGAATATGTGTGTGTGTGTGTGTGTGTGTGTGTGTTAGTAAGAGGAGGAGAAAAGAGAGGGAGAGAAATATGTGCCTGAAGAGGCCGGATCACAGTCCGAATCCCGCGCCACAACTCGGAGTAATTCCCTTCATTCACAGAAACAAACCAATGGCCGTATTCAAGTTAATACGGTTTACACTGGCCTTTCTGATCAGAAGAGTAATACCCGGTTATAACGCTGTTACACTAAACACATATAGGACGCGCAGGTAAAACTCAGGACGCGGCGGTCCAACAAAGAGAAAAATTACAGTTTCCGCATCCATCAAACAATTGTTAAAAACACTCTCTAAAAAGGAGTCGGGCGATAAAACAGATCTTCTGTCTGTTCTGGTGCAGAGGTGTTTGATGGCGGCGATGGTCCCTTACGGCAAGAGCGGCTTCGATATGTTCTCCGTCGAGTGGAAAGATGTCCGTTGATGTCCTTTCATTGCAGGACGGAATAAGACTGTTATCGTTCTGATAATCTGTTATAGTCTGACGCTCTCTGAGAAACTGAGATGCGTTCACTGGACAATCCGAGCTCGGAATTTAGAACACTGCCGGCCGCAGATTACCTGCGTGCCAAAACTTAAAACAAAGGAAGATGGTTGCAGAAAACAGGAGGTGAGCTTGAAGTCAGCGCGTGGAAAGAGAAAGAACAAAGGAAGTCTTGGAGCTTTGTAGCCTGGCCTGCTTCATGGGGGGGTCTACCTCAGGTCCCCTCCAATGAGAAGAGAGAGGTTCCGGTCCCCCCCTTACTTCACACGTAGGTGGGAAGTACTGCAGGGGATTAAGAGTCCTTTTAGGCCTCTTTGTGACCTCAGTGAATCACTCAAATGAGGCTTCTCACAGAGGTGCAGGCCCAAGTCCATCGTTTGCCTGTCCTAAGCCTGCGTGGCCCAACAAGTATACAACAGTTTGTTCCTTCATTCAGCTGCATACAGCAATAAATCTCAAACACATTCACGCAACACACAGAAGAAATCAGGAAATCAAGTGCCAGGAGTTCTTGAGATAGATAAAATTGCTTCATGATGAGGTATCACCACTGAGACAACATGAGCCAGATCCTTCATCTCCTCTGGAAAAATCAAGAAATCAAACATTTATTTGCATGGCCCCAATTCATAACAAATGTTATCTCAAGACACTTTACAAAAGAGCAGGTGAAATACCTGGATATTAAAAACAAAGATATGAAAAATCCCACACGGCGAGCAGCCACAGCCAGTGCCACCGTCATCCTGGGCCCCATCGCATTCCAGCTGCTGAGGGACAACCAGCTGGCCAAGGGTGATGCCCTGGCCGTGGCACAGTTGTCTGGCATCATGGCTTCCAAGCAGACCTCAGCCTTCATCCCACTCTGCCACCCGCTCCCCTTGGACCACGTCTCCATCACCTTTCACCTGGATGAGCTGCAGGACGCTGCGGTCATCACAGCAACGTGTCGCACTACGGGAAGGACAGGGGTCGAGATGGAGGCCTTGACAGCAGTTTCTGTTGCGGCATTGACCGTCTACGACATGTGCAAGGCCGTGAGCCGTGACATTGTCATCACAGATGTCAAACTGGTCAGTAAGTCAGGCGGGAAGAGGGACTTTCATCGTCACCCGCAGACCTTCCCCCTCAACAATAAATCCTCATGAAGAAAACTGAGAATCAATGATTTGTAATCGTGCACCTTTTTCACTTGATTTGATGTATGTTCTACAAGATGAAGGTAGTGATCAGAAAGAAGAAAATATATAAAGTTATAGAAAAAATGAAGAGACCACTGCAAATAGTTCTTAAATCAGCATCTCTATTCATAGAAGGCATCCTTTTGTAGTGTCTGACAAAATTAAACGGAGGCACACCTCATTATACTAATTGAGGATTTGGTGACCACCTCACAAGCCATTCAATAAAGCTGAGCTGCTTGAATTTTTGCGTCAAGAGTGGTATAATGTCCCCCAACAGCAACGTGAAAGACTGTGTGGAGAGCATGCCATGAAACATGAAAGCTCTGGTGGGACGCTGGTTTAACTCGGTTGGTAGAGCAGGAGTCCCACATACTGAGGCCTCAATGCTTGTTTGACACCTGACCATGACCATTTGGTGCACGTCATTTCATTCTCTGTCTCTTCTCAGCTTTCCCTGTCCAATAAAGACAAAAAGGCTGAAAAATAATCTTAAAAAGGAAAAACAAATCAGCAATGGGTTGCACCAGCTGTGCATAAATCCAAGCATAGGTTAGTTCCCACTGGAGATTACATCCCTCAGAAATGATTGTCAAGTGTTTTAAAGCCTTGTGCTGTAGTTGATGATTTGACCACTAGATGTCACCGTTGTTTCTTTACACCAGCTGTACATTAAGAATGTAGTTTTTAGTTATAACCTGATCATCCTGCCTTGTCATATTTTGCCGAACTTTTTTGTCGCTCTTTGTCCATTAACAGAAGTTACTCTCAGCTGTTTGTCTGTTTTAAAGACAACAAGGCTTGAGAGACAAACACACTGCATTAAGATAAAAGCTTTCCACTGACTGCTCACATGAAGTTAAAACTTCATCTCTGAAACAATATTTTGGTCAATTTAGATGTGACAATATATTCGTTACAATGAACCTTACATCCCTGTGGGGCAGACAAACACTGACATGACTGAAGCTGCAAATCAACAGTTTCAACGTTAGTTGAGTGTGGAGTGTACATCCAGCTTAAAGGCAGAGTCAGGAGGTTTTTCTGGAAAAAATAGAATATACACTTATACAAAATAATGTCACTCAATCATCACTTCTGGGCCTTCATCCACGTGTGGTGGAGACTGTAGTGTCTGTAGGGAAGATTTTGATGTTTTGGTTGACTCAGGATGTTTCTGGGTAGGTCGCTGGTGTGTTATCCCCAGCCAATGACAGCTCAGGTGAGTTTAGGAGTGGACACGATTTAGCGATTTGGACGTGATTCAAATCGCAAAAGGGGATAAAGCTTGTTCCAAAATGATGGTGAACATTGGGTTAGCTTTTACCCACGGAGTTGGCCTGCTTTCTGTTGGACAGGCAGGTGCCAACAAACATCGGTAGTTAGCTTGTGCTAGCGTGCGGTAGCTTACAGTGTAAGTACAAGCAGTAACTGTACACACTACATCCTGCAGTGAGTGTGCACTTCTGAGGACGATGAGCCCCAAAAGGAGAGGGCTCTGTTTAAATCTTTTGTTTTTGGTTATTTTGGTTAGTTTAAATGTGACAATATATTCGTTACAATGAACCTTACATCCCTGTGGGGCAGACAAACACTGACATGACTGAAGCTGCAAATCAACAAGTTTCTGAAATGACTATTTTTATTACATGTTGAATTCTTTGGTTAACTACAATGAACTATGAAAAATATTAAATTAAGAATGAAGTCTAGGTACTTGACCTGTTAAAGCTGGCAGAAACAGAGGAATGGGAACAGAGGAGTGTGTGTGTGTCTCTAAATGACCTCTTCTCACCTGCTTCGTGTTGCTGTAAATAACTTCACTACATGTCTGAGCATTTGACATTTGGGGTTGACTCGACTGTAGGAAATATAACAGTAACTACTTTCAGCATTCCCCTCCAAATCTAGTATAAAGTGAAATGTTTAGACAGTGTAGGCTATACTTTACTTTAACCTCTTTAGTGCAAACTGGAAACATGACAGTGAGGTGACCGTTCTATACCCATTACTCTTTACATAGTTGCAGATAAAGATTATTAGAGTAGAGTATTAGGGCCACTGAAACATTTTTTGGGGGGGTCCGTTTTATTTATTTATTTATTTTTTAAGTCTGACTGAGAAAAAAACTCAGAATTCTGAGATTAAAGTCCAAACCCTAACATTTATTTTTCTGTGGCCCTACTCCTCTTCTGTACAAATAACACAAACCTGTTCCCTGTCAAAGTTTTGTGTTTGTTAATTTGCTGTTTGTGCTCGGAGATATTAATAAAGTAATTTCATAATTATCATTTGTGTCAAATCCCTGATTTCTAAGGTAGTAGTTGCACTCAGAGGACCTTGGTGGGAACAAAAGCGCACCAAACCCCAAACCGAATTCAGACATAATGTTGCATTGATACAGAATTGGCCGTCCCAGTTTTTTATTTTTAATGCTGTTTATTATCATTCATTATTCATTGTTGTTTGTGTTGATCGATTCTGTTCACTGTTTTTTTTTATGGGAGATTTTGTGGGAGAAACCAGAGCACCTGGAGTAAACCCTAACACACACAGAACATCCAATCTCATCAACACAAAGGAGGACATTCATGTGCTGCTAGCCACTGATGCCTCATGGTGACTCGAAAAGGGAAATAGAAGAGGGGAACAGAAAGGTTGAGTAGAAAGAGAAGAAAGGGACAGGACAATGATGTCTGTTAACCATTTAGGTCTTTCTGGTCAGCAGCCTTTTGAACTCCAAGTTTTGCCTAATGTACTTGGTCTGCACAGTGGCCAATCTCCTCAAGGATTCTCGAGACTCCTTTGAATGGTAGTTGTAATTCTCGGCAAGCTGGGGGCAGGACTGTCCTTTGAATGTGTCCTTTGAGTTAGTAGATGGCAAACGGTTTACCAGCGGATTGATCCATTTGTTGGCTCTGTTAGATGGTGGCGTCTTGTTCTGTTTTAAACACTTTGTGGTGCTCTGTATATCTTCAGTGTCATATATTGACCCAGACTCTTGGGTGTCAGAAATTGAGAGACAGTGGTTCTGCTTTAGATGTACCTCACCTAGCTCTTCAATGTGAGCAGTGCCAGAGTTATGCAAAGTTTTCTCTGTACCATTTTGTGCTTGATGCTGAGACAACTCTGCACTAGCAGGAGAACACTCGGCTGAAGTTTCTCCAGCCCTGAAATTGTCTCTACAGGAAATGGATGTAGGACTTCTCAGCCTCCACCTGTCATCCCATTTGTTAAATATTTTAGTCTCCTCGTCCAATGATAGAAAGGGGTCATATTCCTCCTGCAAATCATCTTTCTTCTCTTCTTCTTGCTTCTCTATGCTGATGCGTGATCTGAACATGAGCTTTTTACACTTTTTACCGGCTTGTTATTAGCAGTAGATCTTTGCATACACTTCTCTTCCCTTTCTTTCAGTTTCTCAAGTTTCAACCTAAACTCCTCTGCATGCAGCCTCATCATCATCTCTATATAATGCTTCTTTCTCATTTCTGCCAAGACTTCTTCAGGAATTTTGTCAAGCTGATCAAACAGTCTAAACATACGGCGCTCTATACTGGTCATTTTCTCCAAAGTGTCGAGAGTGTTAAACTGAGTATCTACTATGGTGCGATACACATCAGTCACCCTCAAACTCAGAGCTTCCAGCAAGAGATCCTGGTCATCTTTAGGTATTGAATCATGGAGCTGAACCTTGCGTTTGAGTTGGGCACCTCTTTCTTTGTATCTCTTGATTTGATCCTTTACTTCATTTAGCTCAGAGTTTAGCTTCTCTTCTTCCACATTTAATGCATTTACAGTTTTCTCTGTTTGCAGACGAAACTCCTTCAGCATTTCGTTGTTTCTGGTGACGCTCTGACACAGGACTAGGTGTAGCTTGACCAGCTGCTGGCTCTGATCCACAATCTGCTTGGGATCAGATAGCATTTTCTTTCATTTCTGCTCAAGTTCCGAGCTGTCACCATCCAGTTCAGAATTTTTGTTTTGGGCCGTGGACTGTCCAGGCATCTCCCCACCAAGGCTGCACATAGCCTTGGACTGAGGCAAGAAGTCGATGACAATTTTTTTATACTTATCGTATTTACGCATGATTTCTTCAGTCTGTTCCAATTCATTGTTAATGGTCGCTATTTTGTCATGTAAGTCCTCACTTATCACGTTTAAATCCTCTTTTGAATTGTGCGCTCTATCAAAGTCCAAGTTGGCTTTTGCAAGTCTTTCCTCAGCTCTGTTGAGTGACTCCCTGTGACCTTTTTTAATACGATCAAGCCGCCGCTCAAGCAGTGATACATCCTGCTCCTTTGCTTCTATAGCTTTGTGAAACTTCTTAATCTCACATCTTTTTATCACCAGGGATAGCAAAATCATGGCTCTCTTCTTTTGGATAGAGAGAAATTCCTGCTCCGGTTGTCTGTTTGCCATTGTGTTTGTTATTCTATAAAACTCAATCGCACCTGACAAAATAATAGACTTTGAACTGGGATGAGGTTTGTTTTGCTCCTGTTTGTCTCTGTGGCTGTGTTAGCTATGTGTTTCTAGACGTGTGTGTTCTAGGATTCTGTGACATCACAGTCCTTTGCTGAAATACACAAACATGCACAAACAGGATCATATGAACATGCACTAATGGAGAGGTCTCAGAGTGAGGGGGCTGCCCACAGCGAGCGCTTCAGAGCAGTTTTGGGGTTCGGTGCCTTGCTCAAGGGCACCTCAACAGTTCTCAGGAAGTGGACTGGTACCTCTCCAGCTACCAAACCAATTTCCAAACTTGTTCCGGAAACTGACGACCTTCTAATTCCCCAACCCAAGTCCCTCCACACTGAGCTACTGCCGCCCTGATTTCAGGTACATTCTATTTTTTTAAGCACTTTATTAAAGTGAAAATTACACACGTACATCCTGAATTTGAACACACAAACTCTCTCGTATCTGCTGGGAATAAAGCCAAAATGTGAGATTAGAGCTGCACAATGTATCACAGCCTGTTAGAA